GTCTTTAAAACTCACTCATGCACATTTCTCTCTGTGCTTGGTATGTGTGGGATTTGGATGCAATCGAATGAGTTGTGGATCGATCAATGCAAGGGAAGAATATTGTCTTCCTGCCCAAAATGAATGGTCTTAGAAAAATGTATATAGAAATAGATTAGAAAATGACTGTAGACAGATGAAATAACCGGCATCCGACATTGCCAAGGTGGAAAATTAAATGGTCGTTGTGCAAAAATGAATTGTGTATAAGAAATTCGCATAGAATTGTAATGACTTGGAGGAAATGACATAGCGCGGGAAAATATTATGACCGTATGCCACATGAACTAGATCTCACCTCTTTCTTCCTTCTTGTCTGTTCCTCCGTCTCTTCCCTCCTTGATGACGTCATTATAAACGTATGCATACTCTCTCTACGGTTCTCTCCCCTTTTCCCTCCAAAAAAGTTCGTCATAAAAAACGTATGATATCCTTCACGTTTTCTCCAAAAGTATCATTTAAAAAAAATAAAGAAAAGGGGGATTGGGATAGAAATGAATAACGGAAAATACATGGCATATAAATGACAGATGACGTCATAAAAAAACGTATGATATCCTTCATGTTTTCTCCAAAAGTATCATTTAAAAAAAATAATAAACAGAAGGAGGGGTAATTATCTTATTAAGGAACATAAAACATTTCATTAAATATATTTTTCTCTCTCTCTCCGTAGATAAATTACCCTTGTCACAACTATAATTCCTACCATTAATTAGCGACCACGTACTTAAGTGGGCCTCTTGGGTTAGTCAGAAAAGCGTCTATGTTAAGTGGCTTCTTCACCGGCGCAAGTGTTGCCATGTCGATGGGAAACCCTTAAGGAAGTGTCCAGTGTTACCATAACGCTCCTTCTTTGAAATATCTAATGTGTAAAGAAGATTTGTCGTGAAGAGAGGCTGTCTCTGTCGCCATAGTTTCAGTGGTATTCTTGTCTTGGATGTTTTGAGGTTCCGGTTTCTGTTTCTTTCTTTCTCTAGCTCCCCCATTCGCTCTGCCTGGCTATCTCTCTGCCTGTCTGCCTCTCTCTCTCTCTCTGTCTCTATCTCTGTATCTCTGTCTTTGTCTATGTCTCTCTTTACCTCTCGCCCTCTGTCTCTGTCTCTCTTTCTTTCCCTAGGTCTCTCATTCTCTCTTGTCTATCTCTCTGCCTGTCTGCCTCTTTCTCTCTCTCTCTCTCTGTTTCTGCCTCTGTCTCTGTCTCTCTTTACTTCTCGCTCTCTGTCTCTGTCTCTCTTTCTTTTTCGTTCTCTGTCTCTCTCTTTCTCTGTTTCTGTCTCACTTTATCTCTCTCTGTCTGTCTCTTTTTCTCTCTTGTTCTCTGTCTCTGTCTGTCTCTCTCTCTATCTCTCATATATATATATATATATATATATATATATATATATATATATATATATATATATACCCCTCCCTCTCCCTTTCTCGTTCACTCTGTCTGTCCATGTGTCTCTTTGTATTCGTGCCCCCCCCCTCTTCTCCTCTCCCCCCTCCTCTCTCTCCGCTTCGTTGAGTCTCTACGTATGGGGGGGGGAGGGGGTCCTAGGAATTCTCGCTCGTGTATGGTAGACTTATTTCTTGGGCTTTCACGAATGTCTTTAAGAAGAGGCTTTTATTTTCATTGTCTTCTTCTTCTTTGGTCTTTTTTCTTCTTCCTCTGCTATCTTTATCTGCTTCTTTTTCTATTTATCTTTTCATTACTCCTTTTTTGTGTTTTTTTTTCCTTTTTTTTTTACTAATCTTTATTCGTGTCCAAGCTTAACACGAAGACAAGTAATGTGTTTTACCAAAAAAATATGTAATTAATGCATTTTGTTCGTAAATAATTGTTTGATTTCATATGATAAACAGCCAACCTGTTGATCCTTCCTTGGATAAATCTAAAAAGTAGATGAATTCACTCTATTACGTTTTGTAGTATAAAAAGTAGATGAATTCACTCTAACTATTACGTTTTGTAGTAGATGAATTCACTCTAATTCACTCTATTACGTTTTGTAGTAGCATTAATATTAGATCACGTAGCGTGTGCTCTGAGAACCAGTGTAGCAAGTAGCCTTAACGAGTAGCCAGCCTAACTCTGCTAACACTAACCCTCCTCCCGCTTGCTTGACCAACCACTAGGTCGGCGTTTTACAGCTTGCGGGTCGAACAGATGGAGCGGCAGCTGGCTTCGCTCACGGGGCTGGTGAAGAAGGCGCTGCACACGGGCGTCGCCAGCTCCCCCCTCCCCGAGCACATACCCCTGGCCCCCCCTCCCGCTGTCGTCGCCGCAGCCGCAGCCGCTTCGGGAAACGCGAACAGCAGAGAGCCGGCGACCAACAGCAACAGGAACTCCGCCTCGAATGATTTCCTTCAGGTTCCTACCAGCTCCTCTTACAAGACTCCTGGTAAGTGGGATTTCCGTGGCCTTAACGGGGTCGTTTTTGGCTCGTTTGGTAGTTTGTGTGGAGGGTCGTTTGCTGTGGATGGTTTGCCGTGTGGCTGAGGCGGCTTTTTGGATCGTGTGTGGGATTGTGCTGTTGCTGTGGGCGTTCCTGTGGGCGTCTGTGAGTGTCCTTCTGTGAGGGTGTTGCTTCGTGTGTGTCAGTCCGTATTTTTAGTCATTTTCCCCCCACCCTGTGTTCTCTGCAAACGGGGTTATTTCAGAAATTGAATGTGTAGTTTATGTTAGCTCGAAATGTTTTATGACTGTTGATCGTTTTGCTATTTTGTGCGTGTGTTTATAGCGTAGATTTTCTTGTGCGTGTAACTTCCGTGTGTGTATGTGTGTTTACGTTGATTATGTATGTAAAGGTATGTGTATGCTTGTATGTATGTGTGCGTATCGGTGCATTGGGTGTGTACATCATATCTGACTGTATGTGATGTATATTTAAGGAATGTTTTGTGTGTGTGTGTGTGTGTGTGAGTGAGTGTATGTGCGTGTGTGTGTGTGTGTGCGTGTGTGTGTGTGTGCGTGCGTGTGTGTGTGTGTGCGTGCGTGTATGCGTGTATGTGTGTGTGCGTGTGTGTGTGAGTGTGCGTGCGTGTGCGTGCGTGCGTGTGTGTGTGTGTGTGTGTGTGTCTGTGTGTGTGTGTGTGTATGTGTGTGTGTGTGTGCTTGTGTGTGTGTTTGTGTGTGTGTGTGTGTGCTCTTGCGTGCGTGCGTGTGCGAGTATATACATGTGTGTGCGCTTGTGTTTATGTGCGTGTGTGTCATTAAGGATGAAATTCAGTTTAGAGGGGAATCTCAAATGAGCAATAATAACCAGGGTAAGATAACGTAGAGGAAAACAAGGGGATATATTTAAAACCAGTTACCGCAAAGAGACACAAGTGCAACGGGAGATAACATATTAGATTTAGCAGGGGCGTGATGTGGGCGTCCGTTGATCTAGAGAGCATAGTGAGGTTGGGATGTGGTATTAAATTAGAGATTTTATCTTAGTGGGGATGTAGAAAAGGTATGAACGAGACTGCATATCTTCACAATACAAGAGATGTATTTGAACATGTATTTCTGATGAAGACGTCATCGAAACCGGTCAAATACATCTCTTGCATTGTGAAGATATCCAGTCTCATTCATTCCTTTTTCTACATTTGTCAACATGGATACGGTTCATCCTTAGTGGGGATGTTGGGGGATAGGAAGTAATAGGAAGTGATAGGAGGTACTTGGGAGAGAGTTATATTTATTAATTAAAGGTAGTTATGTGGGTATTTACTGTGGGTAATTACTGTGGGTATTTACTGTGGGAAGATTGGAATACTAAGATAATTCTATTGATAGGCGAGTGAGGGAATCGATTGATATATCAAATAGATATATAGATAGCGATTCGACGAATCAATGAGATTAGTGAATAGATAGAAGGTAGCAATATGTATGAGATATAAAGATGATGATTTAATTAAATATAGACGACAGAATTGGAGAATTTCATGAAGATTAAGATCAAGGCTTAACATGATAAGGTTGATATAGAGAATTATTTAAAAAGCAAAGCCAAGAAATTAAGAAAAGAGGAAAAAAAGTATATGGATTTTTTTCTTTTTTAAGATAAGAGATTTATTAAGATAAATGGATTTTCTTTTAAAGAGCATGATAAGAAAATTATAGTAAGAAAGATAGTTCATTTACATATCACTGATGAATTAAATTGACGATAATTTTGATAGACTGCAAAGATGTTGTTGGAGCAGCGTAGATAGTAGATGCTAAAAGAATTTAAGAATACTGTTCGTAGATAGTAGATGCTAAAAAAAATCATAAATACTGTTTTAAAGAATAGCAAATGTAACATTAAAAATATTGTTCGTAGATAGTAGATGCTATAAAAAAAAATCATATATACTGTTTTAAAGAATAGCAAATGTAACATTAAAAATACTGTTCGTAGATAGTAGATGCTAAAAAAAATCATAAATATTATTTTAAAGAATAGCAAATGTAGTAACAGTAGTTGTATCAGTGGCAGTAGTTGTAGTAGGCAGAGAAAATCGAAGTAATAAGTATCAAATGGAGAGCCAGAGAAAAGTAGAATAGTAGTTACTTAAATTATATTGGGTCAGTTATTGCTAGAATAGAGTGCGTAAAAAAAACGGAGTAAAGGAGAGAGGAAGGGACATAGGAGAAGAGAATCGCCCAAAATGAAAGCGAGAGAATGGGGAAAGAAGAACAAAAGCAGACGGAGAAATGAAACTGTGCAAGGAGAGAGAAGAAGAAGAAGGGGTAGACGAAGAGAAGAAGATGAAGAAGAAGAAATGGACGAAGAGAAGAAGATGAAGAAGAAAAAAAGAAGCAAAAAGAGGAAAAGGAGGAGTAGATGAAGAAGAAGCGGGGACAAAAAAGAAAGAGAAGAAAAGAAGAAAAATAAAGAGCAAAAAACAAACACGCTTGAAAGAATAGGAAGAAGAGAACAAAGCGAACGAGAGAAAGAGAGAGACAGAGAAAGAGAGAGAGACAGAGAAAGAGAAAGAGAAAAGAAAAACAAACACAACAAAGAAAAAAGAAAACAAGACACAAAAGATGATAAACAAAGGAACAAAACAAAGCAAAAGAAGAAAGAAGAAAAGACGGAACAAGAGAAACAAGAGAGAAAGGAAGCAAAAGAAGAAAGAAGAAAAAACTATAATAAAAGACGGAACAAGAGAAACAAGAGAGAAAGGAAGCAAAAGAAGAAATAAGAAGAAATGACGATAGAAGACGGAACAAGAGAAACAACAAGAGAGACGATAAAAGACAGAACAAGAGAAACAAGAGAGAAAGGAAGCAAAAGAAGAAAGAAGAAGAAACGACGATAGAAGACGGAACAAGAGAAACAACAAGAGAGACGATAAAAGACAGAACAAGAGAAACAAGAGAAACATAGCAAAAGAAGAAAGAAGAAAAAAAAAACGACGATAAAAGACGGAACAAGAGAGACAAGATGATAAAGAGAGAGACACAGAAAGAGGACACGACGGGTGGGTGGCAGCGGGAAACAGTGTTGGAAGAGACAACACAGGCAAGTTAAAGAGGACAGGATGGAAGGTGACTCGCTGTTCTTCAGGGAGGCCTAGGAGGGAGGGAAGGGAAGGGAAGGAGGAGGGTAGGGGAGGAGGTGGGAGAGGAGGGGAGGGGAAGGAGGGAGGGTAGGGATGGGGAGGGTAGGGTAGGGAGGGGAGGGGTGGGAGGGAAGGGAGGGGAAGGGTAGGTGGGAAGGAGGGGGGGGGAGGGAGGAGAGGAGGGTAGGGGAGGGTAGGGAAGGGGTTGGAATCAGGTGGGATGGGGTTGGAAGAGAAGGGATTGTAGGGGATGGAGGGGTTGGAAGGTTGTTTAGGGAAGGGAGGGGAGGAAAGGGGTTGGAAGGTAGGAGGGAGGAAAGAGACGGGGTTGAGGGAAAGAAGGAAGGGAGGTGGATGGAGGGAAGGGGTAGGAGGCTTGAAAGGAAAGAAGTGGGTAAAGGCTAAGGGAAGGATGGAAGAAAGGAAGGGGGGGGGGCTGAAAGGGAGAGGGCAAGGAGTAGGTGAAGGGAGGGGGGGGGGGCAGAAGAAAGAGAGAAGAAGGGAGGTAAAGAGAGAGAAAAAGGGAAGGAGAGAAGTAGAGAGGGAGAAGAAAGGAGAGTTTAGGCCAGGGAGAGGGACTAGGGGAGAGAGAGAGCTTAAAGAGGAGAAAGAGGGGGGTAGTTGAAGGAGGAGAAGAGGAGAAGAGGGGCGTGGAAGCAGCGAAGAGAAGGGATAACGAGATGGAGGGAGTGGAAGGGGGGAGGGGGAATGAAAAAGGGAGTGAGGAGGGAGGGGAGGGAGAGGAGGGGAGGGGAGGGAAGTGTGGGGAGGAGGGGAGGGGAGGGAGGGGGGTTAAGGGAAGTGAAAAGGGAGTGTAGGGGGAGGAGGGGAGGGGAGGGGGGAGGGGGTTAAGGGGAAGTGAAAAGGGAGTGTGGCGGAGGAGGGGGGGAGGGGGGGAGGGGAGGGGAAATAATATAGGCCTTGGGTCTCTCTATCTAATGAAAAAGGAGAGAATAAAAGAATGTGTAGGAGGGGGGGGGGGGAGGGGGAGGGAGGGACAAGTGTTCGTTGAATTGGGTAAGTGTGAGAGAGAGAGTGAGAGAGGAAGGAGAGAAGGGGAGGAAGGAGGAGAGGAAGAGAAAAAGAGAGAGGGGGAGGAAGAGAGAAAGTGAGAAAGAGAGGGTGAGAGATAGGAGGAAAGAAAAAAGAAAAAAAAGAGAGAAAGAAAGAGAGGGAGAGGGAGAAAGGGAGAAAGAAAGAGAGAGAAATAGAAGATAAAAGAGGAGAGAGGGAGAGAGAGAAAGAGAGAGAGGGAGAGAGAAAGAAAGAAAGAGAGAAAGAAAGAAAGAGAGAGAGAAAGAAAGAAAGAAAGAAAGAAAGAAAGAGAGAGAGAAAGAAAGAGAGAAAGAAAGAAAGAAAGAAAGGAAGGAAGAAAGTGAGAGAGAGAAGGAGAGAAAGAATACAAAAAGGAGCCGCGTGCAGAGGAACGAACGAGAGAAAAATATATATCGGACCGTAAGGTAAAACAGCTGATTGTATGTCGTATTTGTTTACATATAAGCTTTAGATCTAGTATTTATTGCAATCACAGGCATTCGTTATAAATGTATGTACAATTCACAAAATTCCAGTTTAAACCCCCTACTATGAATTGTTGCGCGTGTGTGTGTGGTTGTTGGGTTCATACAGCGAAAGAGGTTTCAATACACAGACAAACACAAAGAGACACGTACGCTCATGCTCACATACGCACACACACAAATACATATATATACAAATGCATATGTATTTACATATATATACATGTATACATATATATACATATATGTATGTATACATATATATATATATGTATGTATACATATATATACATATATATGTATGTATACATATATATACATATATATGTATGTATACA